TGTCAATAGTGCTGCAATGAACATGTGAATGCGTGTGTCTTTTTAGCAAAATGACAGTTCCGTTTTAAGTTCTTTGAGAAATCGCCAAACTGATTTCCACAGTGGCTCGACTAATTTACATTACCAGTGTATAAGCATTCCTTTTTCTCTGCAGCTTCACCAGCATGTTGTTTTTAGACTTTTTAATTACAGCCATTCTGAATGGTGTGAAATGGTATCTCATTGTGAGATGGCTTTGATTTAAATTTTACTGATGACCAGTAATGTGGAACTTTATATATATATTTATTTATTTATTTATTTAAATATATATGTAAACATTCAACATTCAACATTCAACATAAACTGTACAACAAACACTGGGGCCTACCAGAGAGTGGAGTATGGGAGGAGGGAGAGGATCGGGAAAAATAACCAATGGATACTAGACTTAACACCTGACTGACAAAATAATCTGTACAACAAACCCTCGTGTCATGGGTTTGCTTATATAACAAACTTGCACATGTACTTCTGAATTTTATATATATATAAATATAAATATATTTGTTGGCTGCTTATATATAAAGACAGGGTTTGGGAACTGAAATGCATATTTGGGGATTATAAGCATGCAGATAATAATTGACATGAGGGAAGGGAACTGATTCTCCCGAGGAAAACACGCTGAGTTACATGAAAAAGCGTCTAGGATTAAATACCACACTGAGGAACAACATCTAGATGATGGATAGAGGAGGAAGAAAGAGTTCAGTAAGGTGAATGAAGTTTCTCCTGAAATGAAGGAAGAAAACCAGGACAGTGCCATGCAATGGAGGTGTTTCCAAGAGGAGGAAGAGACTGACAGTGCCAAGTGTGACCGAGGTGTCAAAGAAGGTGAAAGAAATAATGATAACCTGGGTGGCCTTGGGGAGAGTAGTTTTGGTGGAATGGTAAAGATGGAAGTCACATTCTATAGGTCGAGAAGAAAAGGGAGATGAGAAAGGGTAAATATTGAATGTCTGAGTGTAGGAAAGACCTAGAAAAGATATAGAGTAAGAGGGGCATTTTCTAGACTAAGAGAGATTTGAGCACTCCATTCATTTATTCATTCATTTGCTCAAGAAATCTTTACAGACAGTTTACATCAGTGCAGGCACTGTTCTAGAGGCTAAATATACAACATATGTAAATGCTAGTGGGAAAGGCCCCCTAGTCGAAAACGAAAGGTGAAGGAAGGATGTAAGAAAGAAAGAGGAAAGTAAAAGGAGAATCTCATGAAGGTCAGAAGAGGTCTTGCACATAGGTAGAGGAATTAGCGTTAACATCAAGAAAATGGACATCTCTTATCTCAGCAACAGAAAGAAGACAAAGGCTTTGGGTGCAAATATAACTAAATATATAAGTAATGAAATCATTATCTCCAGTTTGCAAATGAAGCCAGTACTCAAAAAATACATGTCAAAGTCCACAATCTTTCCAAGTCTCTGGGCTAGATAAAGACTGTTAGCAGGAAAATTACCTAGTGCCCAGACACAGTAGTTTAATAGTTTAGTGTGCTTCAAATTACCTGCTTTAAACATTTAATGGTTAAATTATGACATGGAATCAACTTAAATGCCCATCAAATGGTAGACTGGATAAAGAAAATATGGTACATATACACCATGGAATACTATGCAGCCATACAAAAGAATAAGATCATGTTCTTTGCAGGAACATGGATGGAGCTGGAGGCATTGTTCTTAGCAAACTAATGCAAGAACAGAAAACCAAATACTGCATGTTCTCACTTACAAGTGGGAGCTAAATCATGAGAATACATAGACAGATAGAGGGGAACAACAGACACTGGGGGCTACCAGAAAGTGGAGGGTGGGAGGAGGGAGAGGATCAGAAAAAATAACTAGTGGGTACTAGGCATAGTACCTTAGTGACAAAACAGCACAACAAACCCCACGACAAGGGTTTGCCTATATAACGAAACTGCACGTGTGCTTCTGAACTTAAAAGGTTTTTTTTTTTTTTTTTTTTTGAGAAAAAACAGTTTAACGATTATTGAGTTAGGGTGGGCCATATTGGTAAGCAGCGATTTTATATCCACTAGAGGATACTGTCTTCTTCCACAGGTATAGTGACAAGTTCTTTGACAAGCTGCTCAATGAAAAACTGGATTTACCTAGCACTACATTTCTATTTATTTCTGTAATATTTTAGCTCACCTTCCAGATTAGTCTACTTGGCACTTCTCGGCTGGACCTCCCTTTAATCTGCTCTTCCTCAATCAGTGGTTCTCAACCCTGCAGTAGAATTACCTGCAGTTTTCCAAATGTCTACATGCCATTAGCTCACCCCTAGGCATTCTGATTCTAGAGGCCAGAGGTGAGGCCTAAAAATATATATTTTTAAAAGTTCATGAGTGACACTGATGCCCTACCAGAGTTGAGGATCACCATTATACTGCCTTATTAGATGATTTCTCTAATCCTTCAAATCTAACATTGTTTGTTCTACTACTCTGGCTACTTTCTAAAGTGGTTTTTTGTCTTCTTCTTGTTTTTTATAGAAGACATAGATGAAAATCTCCTCTTTTGAATGAAGATTTTAAAGAACTCAACTTTCCAGCATCCTCCTCTGTTCTAACCACTTCAGCAATATATGCAGCTGTGATACTTGTAGATTTATATTTAGCAAAATGTCTGCATGTATGACAAGACAATGAGAGTAATTGCTTGATAACAACCTATGCGCCAAGTATTTAACATCAACTTTGTAAACAAAAATAAGTAAAGTCAACATATGCAAAATACTGTACATTGTCAACAGAAGTTTAATTCATAGTAATTTCACTCTCTGCATCAACTTATGAGATAATTAACGATAAAACTATTAACAATAAAAATAATGCATTTGTATTGTTCATAATATCATTTGCACTTCAAGAAAGTGGAATGTTACTCTTTTGTGATTAATGTCTATTATTTTCAATATCTTAATACCCTAATAAAGAGTCCGTAAAAATCCAAATGCTTATTTCCAGTTATTATTAAGACAATCAAATGTGAAAGATCAGCCCAAGACTCACACCTCATATCAGATTATAATTGTGCTTCCTAAACCCTACTACTTTAAGTGTGTGTGTGTGTGTGTGTGTGTGTGTGTGTGTGTGTTTGAAGAAAAAGTGTGAGACATCTCATAGAAAACAAATACTCAGTGGTAAAAATAAGAGCTGCTCATTGATGTCCTTCATCATTATGTAAATTTAAACAGAAAACTAAATAAATAAATTCAAGTGCTTTTTTACCAAATTTGATTTAAAATGTAGAACAAGCTGGGTGCAGAGGCTCACGCTATAATCCCAACACTTTGGTAGGCCAAGGTGGGAGGATTCCTTGAGCTCAGGAGTTCAAAACTAGCCCAGGCAACATGGAGAGACCCTGTCTCGAAGAAAACTTTAAAAAATAGCCAGGCACGGTAGCATGCACCTGTGACCCCAGCTACTTGGTAGACTGAGGTAGGAGAATTGCTTGAGCCTAGCAAGTCGAGGTTGCAGCGAGCCAATATTGCACCACTGCACTCCAGCCTGGGTGACAGGGCAAGGCCCTGTCTCAAAATATAAATAAATAAAAATAAAATGTGGACGATTATGCGATGCTTGATCCAACTAATTCTAACTTTTTGTGCAGTTGAGAATGTGTGCTGGGGAAGAGGGCAGCCCTGCAGAAATTTCTACACATTCATTGCCTCAAAATAAAGAAAAGTAAGGGTAAAACAGGTAGAGAGCCATAAAGTGTCTTGATGTCCAATGTAGAAAGGGATTAAATATTAATACTGTAAATTGATGGCCAAAAAAATCTGTCATAAGCAAAAATTTGTGTTTTTATTCAGACTCTTCTTGAAAATTATTACAGTAAAAGTTAGATAACAAAAATATATCATAATATAGTTTTCCAAGTTCTGAAGGCAGTAAAAGAACATGTCACTCACTTTGACTATTTGAAAGAAAATGGTTTTCTACATAGTTTTCCATCTGAAATGAAAGATATCAATACAATTAGCTTTTATTTTTCAAATAATCAAAAAATTTGTTGTTGTTGTTGTTGTTGTTGTTATAAACCTTATCTGTGACAGTCACTGAGAAAACATGCCCCTAGGAATTTTATTTGAAAGATACTTACAGAATAGTTTATTTTTTTTACCAGAATTATCTTCTCTGAGAACTTCAAAATTTTATTCATTATCTCTTTTCATAACTCAATACATTTCTTATTCTTAACCAGAACCATATCATGCTATGTGCTTTCTAAATAATTAAGTTCAACTTGATTCATCTTTAATAATTAATTAGATAAAATCTAATTAAATATTATTTGCAACTTTTTCCAACTACAGAAATAATTTTAGAAACTATTTCAAATTTCAGAACATTTTTATGTGAAGCTGAAAAGGTCTTAGCTAATTACAAACTAGGTTTTTGGGAACAGTGAAATTATATTAAGAAGTATTAATTAGACCTAAATCATCTTTTACCCTCAGACAACTTTCAAAAATGTTGTAGAATAGTGAAAAGTGATTTTAATGTCACTGTGAGGACACCACCTTAATATCTAGTAAAAATTTTATTTGAAAATAATATTCATTTTGAAATGAAAAATATTTAATAATAGAAAATTTCAACCTTAAATTTCTCTATCATTTAAATCTCTCACATGTATAGCTAGATGACCTATTATAGAAGCGCATTAATATTCTTGTGTCACAATTTTTAATTGTGGGTTGTTTGTGATAAAGACACTACTCTAATCCCAACCTAAGAGATAAAGTTGTTTTCTCGGTAATCAGTCTGTAAGTCTACCTCTGCGTAATTGAGAGACTTTGGAAGTTGGAGCTCCTGGTATGAAAGCAATTATTCACTTTAGCTTTGAATTTTGTGACTCATATTGCCCATAACCATAAAGGCATTAGTAACATGGCTTAAATACTAGATGAGCATAGAGATTGTAGGTGATCACGCTGCTCCTTGTATCTGTTGCTCCAAGGGTCACTGAAGCAAAGGTAATTGAGGAGATATATAGTATCATTTGGACTGATTCTATTGCACTAGATAAAAGAATGTAACATAGTTTTGTGTTGGGTAATTTAATGATTTCTAATAGGTTCGTTTCTAAAAAGAAGAAAGAAATTAAAATGTTTGAATTCAGAAAGAAGAAAGATACAAAGAAAAAAACATGAAAAAGGAAAAGAAGGGAACTAAGTTGCCTAAATTCAGGCAAAATGAAATAGCACTAAGATAAATTAGAGCTGAGTTTTACATGTATATAATAGCTGAAATGTGATTTATAGATATAGATATAACTTGCCTCAAATGCTGGAGATAGGTCTTAATGAGAATACGATAAAGTTGTTTTTCTCTCAAAATCCAACTCCAGAATACAGTGAATTGGTTTGAAACTCACAAGGTAAGTTAATTTGAATTAAATGTGATTTTTTAAATGTAAAAATGTCTCCTTTCAGAACCAGCAGATCAATAAAAGCCCGGTTGATTTGCTTTATTGAGTCTGAATTTACTTACATTGCTCTTATTCTCCACCAACCTATTAAGCCTTACAATTTTTTGTCCATACAATTTCCTTCCTGAGAACTATAACTGGCAATAACAGCAATGAGATCGTACGAAGGCCTGGTAAGTCTCACAGAGGTACAAGTTTCAGGTGGATTTATTTGTCTTTTTATATTTCCTCTCATTTTAGCCAGTAGTGATCAATTCCTAATAGTAAGCACAATGCAACACTGGTGTTTTAAAATCTGTGAGTAGAATTGAGCACAGGGGCTTATATCTGTAATCCCGGCACTTTGGAAGGCTGTGGTGGGAAGGTTGCTTGAGGCCAGGAGATCAAGACCGGCTTTGCAACAGGAGGGCAACATAACAAGACTCCATCTCTAAGAAAATTTTTTAAAAATTAGCCAAGTGTGGTGGCACACTCCTGTAGTACTAGGTGCTTGGGAGACTGAGGCAGAAGGATCACTTGAGCCCAGTAGTTTGAAGACTCAGTGGGCTATGATTGTGCCACTGCACTCCAGCCTGCATGACACAGCAAGACCCTGTCTCCAAAACAAAACAAAAAAAGGTTTGTGTGTAGAGATCACACACTCAACTTCAGGGACCAAACATGCACAGTATATAGGCTGAACTGTAACTTTATAAGAAAGTAGAAAGTAATAGGCTATGTTGGGAGTTAAACAGTGCATGTCTTGGCTAAGGAATTCAAAGCCTTTTTTTTTTTTTTTTTTTTTTTTTTTTGAGACGGAGTCTCTCTATGTCGTGCTGACTGGAGAGCAGTGGCATGATCTCGGCTCACTACAATCTCCACCTCCTGGATTCAAGCAATTCTCCTGCCTCCGCCTCCTGAGTAGCTGGGACTAAAGGCGTGCGTCACCATACCCGGCTAATTTTTGTATTTTTAGTAGAGATGGGGTTTCACCACGTTACCCAAGACAGTCTCCTGACCTCATGATCCGCCTGTCTCTGTCTCCCAAAGTGCTAGGATTACAGGCATGAGCCACCGCGCCTGGCCTCAAAGCTTTTAAATACAGTCTTCTAGGCTTACAAAATCTATGTTTGGAGGCAGGATTTAATTTGACTAGTACTTCAACATCTCTAACTAAACTATTTATTTACAATAGGAATGGAACTTACATAGAAAAAAAACTAATAATGATCTCCTGCCCCTTCAATTCCAGTCTCAACCTTTAGAATGGAAGTTCTCATCCTGGCTGGCCTTTTGAGCACTGCCACTGCTCTGCCCATCCCCGTGAGTACACCCTCCTCAGTTGCTGACTCAATTTTGGATTTAGAGATTTCTGGGCTAAAAAGCATGTCTAATCTTTTCATTTCACAAAAGAGGAAAGTGGAATCCAGGAAAGTCATGGAACTAGTTCATGACTCTGTCAGCCCAAGAGTCTGCCCAGTACGAATCCCAGCTCCATATGCCATGTGCTAGCTGTGTGACGTGAGCTAATCCATGGTTTCCTTGTCTATAAAATGAGTTATAGAAACACCTCAGAGTTGCACAGAGATAATTTTTTAAGACATCTAAAGCACAGAGCGGTCCTATCTGAAAGACAGGATGCTCTCAATAAACTCAGTGATACAGAACAAATATTCTGTAGTGACCCAATTAAATTAATTAGTTTAATCAGTTTCATTTGTAATGCTCTTGCCCCAAACCATCTCATGTTTTCTTAACAGGCTGTTACATGGAAATGCTCTGACACCAAGGGAGTATCTACTTCACTGTATATTTGATTTTACAGAAGGAAATATTTAAGATAACTTATACTGATTACTAAATTATGAATGCAAAAATACTTATGCCTGAATTATATTTGAGCGATCATAAAGATAAATCCTAAAAGGATTACATACAGATACATCTTTAAAAGTCCAATTTTTGAAAACCAGATTTGGTTAAAAAGCTATATTCATCATCTGTAGTGCCCCTGATAACAAACCTAATTTGTTTCTTTAGACCACGATCCTTTTTGCCAAAGCTTACAAGTATTGTGGTCTAAAATTCCAAACAATTTGTATTGCCTGTTTCTTCATGCTGATGGGAATGATGCAGTATACATATTTCATTAATTCTAATATGTACTTTTTGATATTTTAGCATCCCTGAAATTGAGCTGTGTCTTACAAACGTAATGTGATGAAGTGTCATGACAGCTCAACAGCAGTGCTTTTCCTTGTTGGTAATTTATGAAATAATGGTGCTTTTTACAATGATAGCATCTAAAAACATATGAAATACTGTAATCCCAGAACACCATTAACTTCACCTATATAGACATTTTGTCATCAACTGACTATATACAAATGAGCCACTGATTCTAATCTGTGTTTACTAGGCTGAATATGAGGGCACCAAGCTGGCAAGAAACTCTCTTCCTTGCACACTTTGTAACACAGGAGCTTTTGAAGAAGTGAGGGAGCCTTCAAAATTTGTGTTTGGGATGTAGAACTTAAATGTACATTTCCACACTTCCTTCACTTTGAATTTATAACTGCTGAGAACTAAATCAAGAACACTATTCATTCAAAGATTTACAAAAGGAGATATTCATGTAATATGAAATTAATCTTAGGAAATGTAAATAAAAGCCTTCTTTGGGTATAAATTTAAAAGCAATTGGTGTTCCAAATCATTGCACAAAATTAATTCAACTTCTCCCTATTAGATATCCAACTGCTTTTTATTTCAGAAGCCAAGTTACATTATTGATGGGTATAATGCTCCATAGTGGCTTATTACCTATTCCCATTTAGAACAAAACCTCTCTTTAGTGGATAATGTATTGCCATATGCTGCTTTACCTTGTTGCTGTTATTGTTTTGCAAGCTTGAACAATATGGTGGAAGTTCCAGTGAACAGGTAAACTTCTAGTTTTATTTTTAAATAATGCATTCACTATTTTTAAAGTTTGCCATTGTCTGAAATGACTGACATCATGTTTCTTTTTACAGAGATTTATCTTTTTCCCACCACAAGTAGCACCATTTTTCCCTCAGGTCCAATTTCCCCTACTTCCACAATCACCCCTGGTAAGCGTGGGTTTGGGGAATGTGAAATAGCTAAAAGGATTTATTAGTTGGACAGTAACATGAAACTTTCCAAATTTCGATAGTGAAATGTGAAGCTTTAAGAAGTCCCCAGGAATCAGCTGTTCAAACTCCTCTCCCATATATCTTGTAGTGGAATGTGACAAGAGGCTAGCAAATGTCCCTCCAAATCTTCAGTGTCCTCTCCCAGTGTTTCTCTGCACTTACCATTAAAAATGTGTTTGTGCTGAAGTACTCTAACTGTTATGAGCTTAGTTATTCTTTATGAAGAGAATACTTCTTTCTATAATATCCATTCTTTTGCTTTTTAAATTCACCTTATTGCTTTCTTCCTCTAAAAATATTTTTCTCCCAGTTTTCTAGAATATTTTCCCAAGTTCAAGCAAAATATTTACTTTGTTTTTCTTGTTGGACCCTCTCCAACTCTCCTAATACCTGGATTCTTGAAACTTTTTTTCAATAAAGGCTGTAACAATGCTAAATACACAGTAGAGTTGCCTTTATCTTATAGATAACACTTTTGTAAGTAGAACACAGAGAGCATTTACTGAGTGTTTACGACATTACAGAGTCAACGGGGAGTGCTTGAGGTACAGACAGTATAAGTTCAGATCTGATGAGGAAGAGAGATTCACAATTGGAAACCATAATGCAATTCGATAAGTACTTCTAGACACAAATACAAAGCTATGGATCAAAGACTTCATAGAGAAGACAGTATCTGAGCCAGTTTTTGAAGGAAGACAAATGGATAGGGCATTTCAGGCAGAACAGCAGGTGCATGGCTGCAGACCTGAAAAGCGCAAGGCAATTTGGAGGTAGAAAATTATTTCAGTCTAAAATAATGATCCTGCAACACAGATTGGGGCCATGTTAAATTTGGATAAGCAATGATTTTTTTTTTCTTTAAAAACCACATACGTTTTAAAACTTCATATACCCTTTATTTACAGACAAGGACCTCACTATGTTACCCAGGCTGGTCTCAAACTCCTGGGCTCAAGTGATCCTCCCACTTCACACAGGTTCCCCAGTAGCTGGGATTACAGGTGCAAATCACCATGCCCAGCTCACAAACATTTTAAAACAGCATCTTGCTTAATATTGTGTCTGATCCCCTAAATATTTTTAAATATACAAAGATGATTATGCATTTTATATCTAAATGTAATAAACACCTTCCCTTTGCTTGCAAATTGTGTTTCTTTCAACTTTTAGCAATTTGTCACTAAACTTAGTCCTGAATAAAACATTTCTTCTCCTTTAATGTTTTTACTTGTTCTGATTGAATCCTAGCTGTTAAATTCTAAATATTATACTTGCACTTATAATTAATTGCTAATTATTTTGGTTCTAATCAGGACTAGGTGCATTTCCCTATCGTTTGCTAAAATTTGTTAAGGTTTTTTGTTTGTTTTGTTTTTGAGACAGAGTATCGCTCTGCCCAGGCTGGAGTGCAGTGATGTGGTCTTGGCTCACTGCAACCTCCACCTCCCAGGTTCAACCGATTCTCCTGTCTCAGCCTCCTGTCTTAGCCTGGCTAATTTTTGAGATGAGGTTTCACCATGTTGGTCAGGCCGGGCGAACTCCCTCCTGACCTGAAATAATCCGCCTGCCTCGGCCTCCCAAAGTGCTAGGATTACAAGTGTAAGCCATCGCCCTCGGCAAAATTTATTTTAAACTGATGCAAAATCTCGGAGTCTTGGTTTATAATTAGAACTTAGAAATCCCTGTTAACGTCTTATATTTAAATGTATTTAAATCGATGTGACAATTAAAAGAATCACTATTCTGTGAAATAGAAACTCTTCCTACCACCAGATGGCAGAATAGTATCTAAAAAGAAAGCAAAGAAAGTAATCTTACTGTAGGGAAAGTGGTAGATTTGCAAAAACTGTCAACACATACAGAAGACAGATTCCTGGGCTTTCAGTTAGACAAATAAAGAAAAACAACAATACCTCTTGAAAGAAAAAAATTATATTGAATCCACTAGACTCTAATCTCCACCAAATAGAAGGCAAGCTCTCTAAGGAAAGTGTCGTTTATTGCTATCCCTAAACTCTAGATACAGAATAACTGCTCAATAAATATCGTAGGGATGGATGGATGGATGGATGGATGGATGGATGGAAGGATGAGTAAGTGTATGAATAAATGAGAAAAAGAAAGAGAAAGTGTTAACAATTTACTTTTTTTCTTTTTGTAGATTTTGATTCCTTTTCCTTTTCCTTTTCTTTACAATCCAAATCAGGTAGTTACACTTAAAGCTTCCTTAGGAAATACTTAAACTAATACAAAACAAAAACTCGAAAATTCTTTAGGTCTAACTGGGGAGAAACTTGATACCAATAATTACAGGCTAACATTCTCTTTGGAGGGCCATTAGTTATTGATATTTTGTCTGATTTGAGTAATTTAATGTACAAATCTCACATGTCCTTGAAAACTGAACTACCTACGACCCGAAACTAAATTTCCTTATTTGCGTGGAATAAACCCAGGGACCAACCAGTAGAAAAAGCATTTAATTTGAAGTTAAATGATCTGGAAATGTAAGCTCCATGTCTGCCTTTTAATAGTTTGGAATTATCTTTAACTCCTTTGACCTTTAGCCTCTTCTAGAATATAAAATAGTGACAACAGATTATCTACAAAGTCTATTTCACCCGTAAAATTTTATAAGCATAAAATTTGTAATAAAATTTATAAGCATTTGTCATTAGTGGGGGTAAAATGCATTCTTATTGAAATGTAATCTATCCTAGAAGCACCTGAATTAGATTTAAGGTTACAGTCATGGTATAAAGGAATTGCTTAAATTTTACTTTTGAAAAGATTTTACTAAATTTGTGATAAGTACATAAGATGAGGCTGATTCAGTAACATACAAAAAAGTTCTGTATAGCATATTAACTCCAAACAATACTATTCCTATTATGGTTTCATTGTTGTTTTTTGAGACTGCGTCTCACTCTGTCACCCAGGCTGGCGTGCACTGGCACAGTCGTAGCTCACTGCAACCTCTGCCTCCCAGGTGCAAGCAATTCCCCAGCCTCAGCCTCCTGAGTAGCTGGGACTACAGGGACGCACCACCACGCTGGGTTTTCGTATTTTTTGTAGAGATGGGGTTTTACCATGTTGCCCAGGATGGTCTCGAACCCCTGGACTCAAGTGATCTGCCTGCTTTGGCCTCCCAAAGTGCTATAGTCAGGCGTGAGCCACCATGCCCAGCTCTCTTATTACAATTATAGGAAGAACTTAGTTTTCTTTCAGAAAGAGGTGATCCCAAAATAAAGTCTTTTTCAAACCCAATAAGCATAGGTTTAATAATCTTTCCAAGAAGTCCCTTTTATGTTTGGAGACCACAACAGAAAATATGGACTATATGTTTCCAGAGATAGGTTGGGGTGGGGGGTGAGTACTTAATTTTAATTAAGTGAATTTTAATCTTAATAGCTGAACTTTAGAAATGATGAGAATTCTAAAAAGCATGCTCTCATTTATCAAGTTAATATAAAATATGTAAGATACATAAGTAGATGAAATGGTGAATTACAACTCCTTATTTGATTGTTTCCTTTATTCTAGGTCCTCACACCTAACGATCTTATAGCGGTAAGTATATTCTGCCCCGTTATTCTATGAAGTCTACATAAATATTACATTCAACACCTCTCAATGGTCCTAATTAAAGTAGGGAGCAGGGAAAGGAACTCTAACAGAACAAACGCTACCTGAGGTCATTGTTCCTGCCTAAGATCTGTCACAGTCGTGACAGTGTTTAGCTTAAATATTACTGCATACACTCTGAGACAGACATCTCAACAAGTAAAGAGATTTACCTTTTAGGCAGAGTGGTCAGTTTCTTGAGCAAGTTGCCAGGATCTTAAACAGGACCATGCGGATGCTACAAAGCAATTTTCCAGCAAAACTGCTTGTGTAAGCGAGTTCTCAACGTATTCATAGTTGTCCTAAAATTTTAGTTCAAGTATCATTCACACAGGGAATGTGAATCATTTATGAAAGATAGAACTTGTATGGAAGTGTACACAGTTTCTTAACCATTCCAATCAATTTTCTAACTTTCAAATATGGTAAATACAATTACAAAGCTGCAGAAAGAAGAAAATATTTCTGCAAATTAAAGGGATTTAAATCTAGATATTGCATCTTCATTTTAAAAGCTCATATCATTAAATATACTAAGCAATAAAATGGAATTTTTTCAATAAAATAGATTTTAATATACAAATTATGACTTGCATATGTAATAAGTTAAACGTAGGTTTAAAAATAAACCTATTGACAGCACTGATCATCGATTTTTCTTCCTTCAGTTATTCATTGCTATTTTGAACCAATTAGGGGTAAGTCTCTATTTTTATGCTACAATAAAGTATACATTTACCTAACTAAAGATAACAAATTACTAATTTTTTTTTTTTTTACTTTTAGAACTTTTTGGGGGTAAGATTTCATTTCCTTGACTAAATTGATAAAAGTAAGTTATATTCAATGCCAGGAAAGGTAAGAAAAATTCTTTGTAACTATAAAAATATGACAGAGCCAACCTCAACTGATCTACCAAACTAGAACTCATGAGTTACAAACTCGTTTCCTCCAAAATCTTTGCATCAAAATTTTTGCAGATCTAAAATGGTATTTTTTAATAATGTTGATATTTCACAAAATTTAAGTTTACAGGCATATATGTAATATGAAATTTCAAATACCTTTTTTTTTTTGGAAGAGGCTCACTTTGTCACCCAGAGGTTGGAGTGCAGTGGCGTGATCTCAGCTCACTGCAATCTTTGCCTCCTGGGCTCAAGCGATTCTCCTCCCTCAGCCTTCCCAGTAGCTAGGAAGTATTACAGGTGTGCACCACCAAGCCTGACTAATTTTTCTATTTTTAGTAGAGATGGGGTTTCACGGCCAGGCTGGTCTCCAACTCCTGATCTCAACTGATCCGCCTGCCTCAGTCTCCCAAAGTGCTAACATTACAGGTGTGATCCACTGCACACAGCCTTTAGGGTTATTTTTGTCTTATAGGCAATTCATAGTAAATAATGAGAAAAGCCTACTGTAAAACTGCTACACCTAGAAACGGACTGATCTCAAGGCAAGGTAACATACCTTAACAAAAAGCATTAACTTGTTTCAAAGGCTACAAAATTTGACTTCTACTCTGACTTTCACTGAAGTATTATCTAAGGAATCTAATAGTTAAAGACTATTAACAAATAAACTATCTTTGGACCAAAATTATGCAAACAACTTCAACAATGCTAGCCAAATCAGGTGTGGCCCTTAAATTTCATTTAAAATACATACCAAAAAAAAAAAAAAAAAGAAAAGAAAAACGTAGAGACCAAAAAGGTATATATCCCTTTTGTTGTTGTTTTGTTTTAGTATTTTTAAGAAACAGGCTCTTGCTGAGTTGTCCTGGCTGAACCGCAGTGGCTATTCACAGGCCCAATCATAGTGTACTGGATTTTCACACAGCAGCTTCTCTCCTAACAAGTTTTACTGCCCTGAAGTGCTTATTTAGTATCTTTTACCATTTCAAATACTTGTATCAGGCCATCTGAGGCCAAGTGGCAGAGATTAAGCTCTATGCTGTAAACAGTAAAGGATTCAACTTATCAGCATTTAAGTATAATGGTTCCACATTATTTTCTACCTCCAACATACAGAATTATACCATATTAACATATCAGCAATAAAACAACCATAAAATGGGAGGCATGGGCAAAGAAGGAATTGTGGTGAAAATATCTTCATATAATAAATTATAACTATAATCTGTATTATCTATTTTGACAGAAATAATTCTCCCACTACTATGTCAGAAGTTACATATGGTTAGTAAAATCTCCAAATTCTTTCAAGCATTTATATCTTTTAAAATATTTTTATCATTAAAAGTTTAATTGCCTCTGATTGTATCCACAATGGTAAATTAATAATACAATGAAAGTAGGTGTAAACAAGACCAATTAAATACAAATGCTTTCTTCAAACGATGTATTTTAAAGTCAGTTCATTAGAATTCCAGAAATATTTTAGAAAATAACCACCGCCAGAAGTCCTAAGCATAAGAAAACATAATCTTAAATAAGGTAGCCTCTCAAAGTGCTCAGGGTTTTCAAGTTCCCTCTTTAGCCACCAAATATTTAGTTTTTAATGTAGTTATGATGTTAAGGAAGCTTTGTATATCCTTCTATGTGAGTTTGAAATGCTTTCAAAAGCTCAAGAACACCTGCTGACAAAACAAATACTGACTGTGGCCCTTTATAAACTATCTTTGGGCCAAATTATGCAAACAACTTCAACAATGCTAGCCAAATCAGGTGTGGCCCTTCAATTTCAAGTCATAAATCATAACTGCAATACTATGAATAACATAAGTACTATTTATGTAACATATAATCTTCCAAGTCGCATACTTAAATAATAAATCATAAAAGACTCAGAACCAGAGTAGGGAATATAATAGACAAAACAGGTTTTCAAACCAGTCAGACCGTGATTCAAATCCCAGCTCAACTAGCAAATAAAACCTCGGGCAAACTTTCTATCAATGTATTCATTTGTGAAATGGGAATACTACTACCTAACAGGATGTGGTGAGAATTAAGTGATATAATACAGATACTCAGTAAATGGCAAGTATTATTATTTATTTTACTAAATGTCTCTATAATTTTTAAAATCCCTTTTACATAAGACATAAGGAAAATAAATATGAGGGAAATATTACCTAGTGATATAGCAAATAGATGTTCCTCTTGGAATATCTGAAACTAACATTTTGGTTTTTTTCTATTATAGGTGGTGCTGGATATTTACAGTTATGAAAAGATTATCTACTTCTATCTTATCTATAGTTGATAGTTTGATCATTTTGCATACTTTGTACATATGCCACTGAAAACTCCAAAAAAAGTAAAGAATTGATCTAGACCATGTGCTTTAGTCATACTTTAAATAAACCTTTAATATAGCCAAGTAACATTCTAACATATCTCAGGAAAACCTGCAGTCACATAACTAAGGGGGAAAAAAGCCACCTGTCAGTTCAATTCAGGTTTACCACCAAAAGTTCTGACATCAAATAAAACAAACAAACAAACAAACAAAAACAAAAACAAAAAAAAAAAAAAAAAAAAAAAAAACAGAAAAACACTTTTGTTTTACCTTAACCCTATTTCTGCTCTCTAGCTACAGAGTAAGCCTAATATCTTTTTCAAACATCTGAAGGAAAAAAAACAATCATGTCTCTCTTCCCTAAGCTCTTCTTGAGATGTCCCAGCTGTAACCCAATCCTGCTTAGGTTGATAGGAATTCATATCACAGGGCTTTTCAAAGGAGAGCCTTAGCCAGAATGAGATACACATGTCCACTAAGACAAGGCAGTACTACTTTTCTTTCCTCTTCCTTGCTTCCAAAAACCCCTAAAGCACCAATCCTCTCCTTTCCTCTGGGATTTATAGCATTAGCCATGGTTTTCTCAAAAACCTATTTTAATCTTTAACATTTCTTTAACCAAAAACACTTTAACTCACAGAGACCTCCACCTCTGTTCCTCATTTTTTTAGAGCCAAAAAAATTACTTAATAATTGCATATTGATCATATATTAAGATATTTTGGATATAATGTATCCATATCATTTGTAATAATAAATAATTACAAACCATTTTACTTGTTTTTTTTTTACTATTTTTAATGCAACTACCAAGAAGTTTAAAATTCACACGTGGCTAACATTTTCTTTCATGTTTGTTTTATTGTTGTTTTCAGTATAGGAATACAGGTGCAAGTTTGTTACATAGGTAAACGTGTCATGAGGGTTTGTTGCATTAGTTATTTTTCCTGATCCTCTCCCTCCTCCCACCCGCCAGTAGGCCCCAGTGTGTATTGTTCCCCTGTGACCATGTGTTCTATTTAACTCCCACTTATAAGAGAACATGCAGCATCTGGTTTTCTGTTCCTGCATTAGTTTGCTAAGGATAATGGCCTCCAGCTTCATCCACATCTCTTCAGAGGACACGATATCATTCTTTTTTATGGCTGCATAGTATTCCATGATATATATACCACATTTTCTTTATCCAGTCTATCACTGATGAGCATTTAGGTTGATTTCATGTCCTTACCATTGCGAATAGTGCAGCAATGAACATATGCGTGAATGTGTCTTTATAAAAGAACAATTTATACTCCTTTGGATGTATACCCAGTAATGGGATTGCTGGGTCAAATGTCTTGAAGTCTTTGAGGAATCGCTACAGTGTCTTCCACGATGGTTGGACCAATTTACATTCCACTAACAGTGTATAAGAATTCTTCTCTACATCTTCACCAGCATCTGTAATTTTTTTCTCCTGTCTGATTTCAATTCTTTTCTGAACATCCATTTTTAACTGGCTTACAGCATATAGTAATTTCACTAGAGTGAAATGAACATATTGACTTACTAACTTCCTGGATTTTTTTAATTCAGAATTTCTGAAAACGAGGATATCAGCTGTTGTTCACTGATCTTGATCTCTATTGACTAAAAGTGACTGAAATTTCCTCTTAAAATGGATTCCAAAGTCAAGAAAACATACTTTCTATTTTCAAAATTAGCTTCAAAAAGATCATGCGAAGCAAAATGTGAAGCAAATAATTTAAAGAAAAATCAGATGAAACAATAAACTATACACCCAATGGTGGTACTCCTCCTAAAGGAGCTTGATGTGGCAGGAACATCCTTCAGGCCTTAGAAGATGGGGAGCAGGAGGGAAGGCACTGACAAACAAGAACTAGATGGAAAACAGAAGTTACAGCTGATCAAGAATTTATCTTTATTCTGGTTATGATTCTTCAAAGAGCATTAGCTGTTTAAATTTCATTTAAGCCATGCTTAAACAGAATACATACAAAATATGACTACTGATATTCCTTTTAACCAAAAAGCTGAAAATTCTATGTTCCAGTTCATCTCACTCACTTTATTCTGATGTGAAACACTCTAAATGTAAATCATTTTGAAAGTAAATAGGCCAAGTGGCCTACCCTGCCCTTTTTTTGGTATAAATTCTGTGATATTGGCCTCTTTTCAGTACATGCTCCTCTGTGGGCCTTTGGCTTACATGGAAACCATCAGCTATAACCCATGGCAGTCAGGTTCCGAATCCTCACTCCAGTGTGCATCTCGTTTCTCAGCCACAAGCTTGATGAATTGAGAGTGACTGGCATAAAGCTGCAGTTTATCATTGATGTCCACCCATCTCACTTTTCCAGCATCATCTCCAGCTTCCAGGGTTAGATTATCCATTATCTCACCTGGTTACCAAAGAAAAACCATCACCAAGAAAAATTCACTTGTTTTAGCATATTTATGTCATCAAGTGTTCTTACTTAAAATAATCTTAAGTCATCATTGTACTAACTGGCAAAGTGAATTAAAAACTAGATTATTCCATACCTGGTCAGCAGAATGAATAAAAGAAAAAAAAAAACTAGACTATTCCAAAATGCCCAAATTTTAATCAAGTTCCTAAATTTTAGGTAAACACAAAATACAAAGGCTTTTCTCTAAAAAGTAAGGTTATCCTTAAAAAAGAGATCTAATATGAATATGAAACCTTACATCAAAATCAATCCCAGAGGGATTAGAGATTTGAATGTAAAAAGACAAAACAAATTATTGGTGACTCCTTTAATAGTCTTAAGTAGAGTTTTCTAAGCATAACAACAAACCAAACACCATAAAGTATGTTTAGGTATTTAATTTAAAATATTTTAATAAACATAGGTATTTATAAATAGATTTATTAAAATATGTAATAGAGTACTTTGGGAGGCCAAAGCAGGTGGATCACCTGGAGTTTGAGACCAGCCTGGCCAACATAGTGAAACTTCATCTCTACTAAAAATACAAAAATTAGCCAGAAGTGTTGGCACATGCCTGTAGTCCCAGTTACTTGGGAGGCTGAGGCAGGATAATCACTTTAACTCATGAGGCAGAGGTTGCAGTGAGCCAAGATCACACCACTACACTCCAGCCTGGCAACGGGGTGAGACTCCATCTCAAAAAAAAAAAAAAAAAAAAAATTGAAATTAAAATTAAAATTATCAAAAAAAAAATAAGTGCTCCCAATCACTGTTGAGAATATAAGTGGCATATTTCTGTAGGAAATTTGGCAATGTTTATCAAGAGCTTTTAAAAATTAAGTGTTCTGCCGGGCGCGGTGGCTCAAGCCTGTAATCCCAGCACTTTGGGAGGCTGAGGCGGGTGGATCACGAGGTCGAGAGATCGAGACCATCCCGGTCAACATAGTGAAACCCCGTCTCTACTAAAAATACAAAAAATTAGCTGGGCATGGTGGCACGTGCCTGTAATCCCAGCTACTCAGGAGGCTGAGGCAGGAGAATTGCCTGAACCCAGGAGGCGGAGGTTGCGGTGAGCCGAGATCGTGCCATTGCACTCCAGCCTGGGTAACAAGAGCGAAACTCTGTCTCAAAAAAAAAAAAAAAAAAAAAATTAAGTGTTCTTTGATAAGCATTCATTCCATAAATATCAGATTACATCTTGTATGCCAGACTCTATACTAGGTACTGAAGATACAATAAGCAATCCAGTAATTTCACTTTGAAGAATTTATTCTAAGGAAACAGAGACAAGCCTATTAAAGTATTCAAAGCAACATTACTTAAATATTTTATTTTTATTGTATATTTTTTGAGATGGAGTCTTGTTCTTGTCGACCAGGCTGGAGCGTAGTATGCGATCACGGCTCACTGCAACCTCCGCCTCCCAAATTCAAGCAATTCTCCTGCCTCAGCCTCCTGAGTAGAAAGGATTACTGCCACCCACCACCATGCCAGTTTAATTTTTTTGTACTTTTAGTAGAGACAGAGTTTCTACTAAAACCCACCTTGCCCAGTGGATCACAATATATTTCTAATTGAAAACCTTGGCCAGGCACGGTGGCTCATGCCTGTAATCCCAGCACTTTGGGAGGCTGAGGCAGGCAGACCACCTGAGGTCAGAAGTTTGAGACCAACCTGGCCAACATGGTGAAACCCCATCTCTACTAAAAATGCAAAAAATTAGCTGGGCATGGTGGCGTGCACCTGTAGTCCCAGCTACTCAGGAATTTGAGGCAAAAGAATCACTTGAACCCAGGAGGTGGAGCTGCAGTGAGCCGAGATCATCCCACTGCACTGCACTCAGCCTGGGCAATAGAGTGAGACTCTGTCTCAAAAAAAATAAAAACCTCAAGCAATAAAACAGAATGCAGAGTATAAGCTCATTTTATTTAAAAAAAAAAAAAAAAGCTATATGATATCTTAAAGAAGATATACCAAAATGTTAACTAAGAGTAATTATCCTTGGGTTATGAAATAACTGGTGTTTTTTACATTTTTCCTCTTTATATCATCTATTGATAATGTAAAGATGATAGACCTATCTAAATACCTTTCAATAAATGTACCTTACCTTTACCTTTATAATAATAAAATAATAAAGCTACTTCTTAGAAGAAAAGAACTACTCTAATATTTTAGCAAACCAGTTTCTAAAGTCCAGTGCTAAAATCATATGGTTCTTTGTGCAATCCTCATTGCAACTACAATATCCAACCATCAGTGAAGAAACAGAACTAAAAAGTAAATCTAAATTCAAAGGTTAAATTTAAGTATCATGTTCCTTATCAGAATTAATAATGTCCGAAAGGTTCTTTTACTCCCTACTCTAGTCACCTAATAAATTATGTAAAACAAAATTTTAAGTTTAAAGAGGCCCGGCCTGACATGTAAAGAAACTGAAAGTGATCAGTCCCATCCATCCTCTCAACAACAAAAAAGCGGAACA